TGAATAGAGGAAGAGCAATGAAAGTTTCTATGTTTGAAAATTCTACTTTAAGTGATAATGATTCTCCTGATGATACTAATAATCTTTCTTATATCGCTTTTCTTGAAAGAGGTCCTCAATTTGTTACTTTATCTGACTCTGATATTTCAGATAATGAAGACAATGAAGTTCATGATGAATAGGTGTAAGAGGCTGAAAAAGACGATGAAAGATTGAAAAAGATGGTCAAAGAAACCATCTTCTATCATCACTGAGCTTGAGAAGAAGATCATCATTCTTGAGGATAAGGTAAATATTGCTAACTTATTAAAGGAATGTCTTGCTTTGAAAAATGATTATCTAGAAATTGAATAGAAATCTGAACAAGATAAACTAAAATGATTCAATTTGAGTCAAAACAGTTTAAATAAGATAATCAACATAGGTAAGGATATGAATGATAAAACTGGGTTAGGATTTGTTAAAGGTTCATCGAGTAGTCAAGGTAAAACAACCTTTGTTAAACCTGTTGATTATCATATGCCTGATTCATGTTTGTCTGATATATCACATTATGATATGTTTTATGTGCCTAAATTGTTGCATTGCACTTTTTGTGGAAAGAATGAACATAAGTATAACTCATGCCATCACAGGAAAAAGAAAGACTTTTCTAAAATTCATTCTCAAAATTCTCATGCTAATAAAAAGGTGCGTTCTAGGAAGAAAAAGAATGTTGTGACACCTAAGATTTCTAGAGTTGAAATTTTGCCTAAGAAAGAGGTAAAGAAAGATAGAGAATTTTAGGAAGTGAGATTGAGAACTGTGTAGATCAAAAAGTCTGATTTGATCAATTATGTGCCTGTTAAGTCTATGGAATAAGTTTCCAAAAGGACTTCACCTTCAAACTGAGTCCTATAAAATTCAGTGATCATGGCTTGTGATTAAAAAAAAAATTGTTTCCATTGGATCACTTATTAGGGTTTAGTTTAGGTTTGAGTTTCTGATCATAGTCTTCATGATATATTTGAGAATATTCTTCCATTGAATTTATGATCTATCTTTGAATGCAAATTTGGACACATGATTTTTTATTAAAAATAGATTATTGGTTTGTAATCTATACATTGAAAATTGATTTACATTGATTAAGGGATTTTTAGATTTGAATCTCTTAAGTTCATAACCTTTTGTGCACTAGTCCAAATCTGAAAATTTTGATTGAAAATCTTTGAATTGTTGACTAGGTTATATTGATCATAAAAGCTATACAGGTTATTGTCTGAAAAAAAAAAATAAATAAATAAATAAATAAAAATAGGAGTATGAAATCAAGAGAAAAAAAATGAATAAATTTAGCTTGAAAAAGAAAAGAAAATTTTGAAAAATGTTGAATTCTTTGTTTGGAAAAGGCTAACTATTGAGATGTGTTCGAAAGCACCCACTAGACTTTGAAGTGGAGCTAAATGAGTAAAAAAAAATGTGGAGACAAGTTGAATTGGGGAATTGCTGTCTGCTCTTTAGAGTAAAAGCCACTTTACTTAGAAAAAATGCTCAAAGACAATTTTATCTTGATATTTTTCGATCAATATGGTTTGGACAATGATTTATTAATAACTGATTAAAAATTGATGAGATGGATTGCACACACACACTTGAACTTGCTAGATTGATTTCTAAATATTTCATTAAAATTTGCAAGTTAAAATTTGTGTTGTGATTATTTCCTGAGAATTGAAATTTGAATATTCTATGGAGTCAAAATTTTCGTTCATAGATATCTTTGAAAATTTTCTGGAAATTTGGATCATGTGTGGAATTAAAAGACTTTGATTGATTGCTCAATGATATGTTCTTTATTTTTTTATTTTTTTTTAAAAAAATTAAAAAACTATAAAATTCAAAAAGATTGTTAATTTTAGTTTGTAGAATTCTTTTTGCTTGCTTTGATCATTGAGTGATTCAAAAAGTCCGATAAAAAATTTTCTGGAAAAATTTCAAGTCTTTAAAATGCATTTTGCCATGTCCCTACCGGTTCCTCATATCCCTTACCAGTTCAAGGTGCCAGGCTGCAAAGTCATACCTTACTGGAGCTTAGCTACCAGTACCACAAGTTTGGTACCGGTTCCAAAGTGGTCCTCACTTTGCAAAGGCTCACTGCCCAGTGGGAATCGGTTCCCACATTGGCTACCAGTTCCTGGCAATGTGAAAGGGCTTTAAGAAACCCGTTTAGGCATATTGTTAAGCAATGTTGCACACAACCTTTCTCTCTCTATATATGCACTCTCTCTATATATATTTCTCATATATATATCTTCACATATATGTTTCAAATTTGCATCATATCATTGCATACTTTCCATTGCAAATTGAATCAACCTATTGAAGGATGAAAATTGAAGATTTGAAGATTGAAAGAAGTTAAAGATTGAGATTGAGGAGTTTGGGATTTTGAGAAAGAAAACTTAGAGGATTTGGTTAAGTTTGTTCTAAATCTTTGGGTTTGACATTAAAGACCTTGGGTTTGATATTGTGATTATATGTGCTTGATTCGTTGTTGATTGTTGGGGGTTTTGAAGATTCAACACAAGCTTGTCCAAGAACAAGTATTGAAGTGCGCTCCAAGTGTTCGACAAAATTACAAAGTGAACTTCGGCCCTCAAACCAAAATTTTCCGAACACAAGATACCTCCAAAATTTTCTCAGAAGGCCAAAGGAAAGGGAATTGCTACTCCTCTACCTCCAAAGAAAGCCCGAATGACAATTTCCATCCGGGAACCACAAGAGGGTTAACATGCTTCAAGGGATGAACCAAGTTCGCTTATGTGTTCTTCCTCACCTTTTACTGAGATACCACCTGGGTATCCTTTAGTTTCTGACATTGGGAAGGTTGAGTTTGCTCAAGAACACTTCTTTAATGAACATTCCTGGAAGGTATACACTAAAGTGTATAAAGATGGTCTGATTAAGTCAGAACGCAAGGTGAACTTGAAGAAGCTCAAAGAAAGTCTGGGGAAAAAGCTCATTGACTACATTAAGAAGCATAATTGGCTTTACTTCATAAGGATGGAGAGTACCTACAGTCCAATTATGGTTCACTATTTTTACTCAAATATCCGAAAAGTTTATGACTCTAGATATTTTGAAGTATCATTGTTTGGTAAGGACTATGTTGTTGATAAAGAGGCAATCGGAAAAATTCTTGGTACACCCAAGAGTTTTACAAACACAAGCTATTGTCTTCTACTTGACAAGTCAGGACTAAAGTGGGAAGATATTTTCAATGCTTTGTGTGTTCCTGACTCGCCGAGATATCCCGATTATATACCATCTCGTTTTCTCATAGATGAGGCGGCATTTTTGAATTTGTTTGCCATCTCCAATCTTGGTTATTTTAGGAAGAAGGATATTATTTCCTCAGATCGTGCAGAGGTATTATATCTTCTATCTATTGATGCATATATACATCTTAATGCTTCTATCTATGGATTTATGGTAGCACACTACAAGAACAATACCAAGAAAAAGTTATCTCCATTCCCTATGATTATCATAGGTCTCTATCGGCAGTTTGAGATTCCACTTCCACCCCGAGCTCATTATATTAAGATTATATCTGAGATGGATGTTAGGGCTTTTAACAAGTTCAAATCTGCCAGGGCTACAGCTAGGAAAGCTATCAGGGGTTCAGCTGCTTCATCATCTCTTCCTGAGATTACTTAGATTTTTCCATCTAAACAGAATTTCACCACAATGGATGTTAATATGCTCTACTCCCTGATTCTTCATAATCAGAAGGCCATGATGGATGTTGTTCTTGATCTACAAGAAGAGGTTAGATTGCTTAAAGAGTAGAAGACGGGTAGTACTTCTGAGGATGTCTACCAACCAGCCCCTCCAAATCCATCACTTGTTCCTAAGGATGATAGAGATGAGGTGGATGAGACAGATGAGGATGTAGAGGATGATGAGGATGGTAATGGTAATGACACTGATGGTGGTGATACGGAGATTCTGTCTACTACTGTTCCATTTACTGGAGATGATGTTGATACTTGATTCTATATTCATATCATACATGCATCACTTTTTGTTCACTTTTTACATTGTCATGACTTGATATTTTTGGATATTATCTTTTGACTGTTGACATGTAATAAACTAATTACTGTTTTCTCAGTTTAGTATTGTTTCTACTCTCAATGACCTGTTTACATTGCTTTGTCAATTTTGTTCCAAAAAGGGGGAGAACAAGGTTACATTAAGGGGGAGAAAAATCTAAAATTTTTGAATAATTTATTCAGGGGGAGTTTTGGTTGCCAAGGGTTATGCTCAGACTTATGGCATAGATTATCAGGAGACTTTTGGCTCCTTTTACCAAGATGAATACCATCTGTGTATTATTTTCCGTTGCTGTAATTCGATCTTGGCCTCTATTTCAGTTAGATATAAAGAATGCCTTTCTCAATAGTGATTTGCATAAAGAGGTGTACATGGTTCCTCCTTCGGGCTTTCGTTCTCCTGCTCATTCTAGTATGGTATGTCATCTTCATCATTCTCTGTATGGCCTCAAGCAGTCTTCTCGAGCTTGGTCTGATCGTTTTGGCACTGTTATACTCAAGTTTGGTTTCCATTAAAGTGCAGCTGATCATACCTTGTTTTTACGTTATTCATGCAGTAAGACAGTTGCTCTCATTATGTATGTTGATGATATTGTTCTTACCGACGATGATACTACCAGAATTGACGAGGTTAAGAGCTATCTTGGCTGTCAGTTTGAGATTAAGAATCTTGGTCCCCTACGGTACTTCTTGGGCATTGAGGTAGCTCGCTCCAAGACTGGTATTTTCATCTCTCAACGCAAGTATGTTCTTAACTTGTTTTCTGCTTCTGGTCAGCTTAGTGGTCGTCTTACTAATACTCCGATTGAGCAAAATCATTGGTTGGCTGATTCTGAGGGGGAGTTGTTGTCAGATGTTGGTCAGTATCAATGACTTGTAGGGAAGCCCATCTATTTATCCATGACTCAACCTGACATTGCTTATGCTGTGAGTGTTACAAGTCAATTCATATATTCTCCTCGTGCCCCTTACCTTGATGCAGCTATTCAGATCCTTCGTTACTTAAAAAGGTGTCCAAGCCGTGGTATTTTGTTTGCCAATCATGGTCACTTACGTGTTGAGGCTTGGACAGATGCTGATTATGTAGGATCCATTTCAGATAGGAGGTCAACTTCGGGTTATTGTACCACTATTGGTGGTAACTTGGTTATTCGGCGCAATAAGAAGCAGGATGTTGTCTCTCGATCTAGTACAGAGGCAGAGTATAGGGCTATAGTTGAAAACCTTGATGACAGACTTGTGCCTTCCAGTACAACTTCCATTCTCACTCTCCTGCGACAACAAGTCTGCCATTAGTATAGCAGCAAATCCTGTTCAACATGACAGGACTAAGCATATAGAGGAGGACCGTCACTTCATTCGAGAAAAGATCATCTCTGGTCAAATTTGCACTCCATTTGTTACAAGCTCTCAGCAGCTTTAGACATTCTTACAAAGGGCATTAGCAAGATTGTGTTTAAGAATGCATTATTCAAGTTGGGCATTTCAGATATCTACGCACCAACTTGAGGGGGAGTGTTAGCATATATGGTACCATGATTTATGGTATAACTTACCATAATAGCAGAAATTTGACTATGCATCTGTTAGCATATATGATAGCCACTATTTATGGAATGACTTACCATAATAGCAGATATTTGACTATGCATATGTTAGCATATATGATAGTCACTATTTATGGAATGACTTAATATAATAGCAGAAATTTGATTATGCTATAAAATATGCCATAAAATAAGTTGTAATTTGATTTAGATTTGATTTAGTTTTCTTTCTTGTAATATGAGCATGTGCTCATATCATCTATAAATACTAGAGTTGTGAATAAGTAATTTATATCATTCAAGCCTTTACGCAATTCTCTCCTTTTTTCTAATGTTACCGATAAGGAAACCCAACGCTTTTCTTTCTGAGCAGCCATGCTCTATATAAACAGACTGAGTTCCTCTGGTTTGACAACCCTTTTTAGCAACTCTATATATTCTTGCTTTCCATACATTCTTTTCCTATTTCTGAAACTGAAAAAAAAAAAATAATAAAAAAAAATAAAAAATAGTTTCCTCCTCCTCGTGGAAACGTGTTACGTGCAGCTGTGAGAGTGATATTGAAACTTGTGATCCCTTGTGGTGCCAACAATGGGAGTAAGGGGAAGTAACGGCATTTTTAAAGAGCTGAGAATCAGAAAACTGAACCAAATAGGGCCCAAGCCACGTTAAGTTCTTGTCATCGACTCTTCCATATGCATATTTTGCTACATATTCTGCGCTTGTGTTTGGATACAGTGTTTTTGTGTTGTATCTGTAAATGTGAAGTGATGGTATGCAATGTGTGTGTTATACAGGAAAATAGATGAATCTGTTTTATGTGTGTTACTGGGAAAAGGAATGGAAGTTTGGTATCTTATTAAATGATGGGTTGGAGGAGATATTGTAAGATTCTCAGTATGGTGGAGAGTGTCTGCAATATACATGTATATTAGTCCATACAAATAAAAAATAAAAATAAAAACATTTTGATAATCTCTCTCTCTTTATATCAAATGCTCAATACTATTCCCAATGCCCAATTTGATTCTTGGGAATAATGACAGAATTATGAATTTTTTTCAACATTTTCAACTTTTTTTTTTATTCCCAGCTCTAAATTTCTTAAGAAACATATAAAGTCTAAATTAAAAATCAATGCAACTAAATTTAACAGATTGATGGTTCTTTACAGCAAATAGTGCAGAGTTTACTTTCTGTCTTTCTATTTATTTATTTGTGTTTTACCAAAGAACTTTTTTTTTTTTTTTTGACAAGTTACCAAAGAACTTGTGATGATTATTTCATAAAATCATTTGCCTTTTTACTGTTAAATTTATTGTTGGGCCCTTTCCAAGTTCTTTTATGTGGATAGAGCAGATTATAATTGGGAATATAACAAACTGTGCATATACAAAAAACCTCAGCAAACCATATACAATGCAAAGGTAGCAAAATGTTACAATGTTTACTTACAAAAAAATAAAAATAAATAAATAAAAGTAGACAAAAGGAATCATAAAAAGGACATTCAACCACAAAAATGTGTTAGAAACTTGTTTGTTCTTTTTAATCGTGGAAGAAATTAATCTACCAAAAAAAAGACACAAATTCAAAGTGGATCCACAATGGTCAAGCCACCATATGTCAATTCACAAACAGGAAGAAACAAACATAGCATGGACCAGGTAAATGATGGGAGACCACCACAGAGGTTGGCGGGAAGATTTTTAAAGGTACATTTGAAAACAATGATATGAACATAATTCCATGAAAATGATGGAGATCTCATCAATTTCACATGATATTGTGATATTTAACCTTCTACATTTATCATCGTGTATTTGTGTGTGTGTGTATTTATCATTGGAATACATTGGAATACATTTTCATTGTGAGGAAGGAAATCTCACTACTCTTTCTGTTTCTATGAAATGAATGTTTGTGTAGAAGTAGGGAAGAAAAGAATGGGAAATTCCATTTCAGTTGCCAAAGGAAACACTGTGACAGCAATCACTAGGTTAATGAATAAACATGATTAAATTAATATGCTTTTTTTCTTATTTATTTTATAAATTTTGAGTCATTTGATTAATATTCTTTTTTTTTCTTATTTATTTTATAAATCTATCGTGCAGCCCCAAAAACTGATCAAATTCTTTTATTAATGGTATATATGAAGCAAAACTTCGCCAACATATTCTCAACATACAAAATCACATACACAAAGGTGTTTGAAATCAAATTCATCAACTTTTCATTTTCCAATTTTCTACTTGATTATCGAATTACTTTACTAACAAAATCACACAACTTCCAGGTGAATTCTTCGAAGGTTCAAGCCACCATACAGGCAAAGTTAAGACCTGGAAGCAACTTCATCTGGTGATGCGTAAACAACACGAAATTTCCGTGATTTCGAGAATTTACATCCACAATTTACTTAGTTGAATGGACGAAGTAACCCAGTATATAAATAAAATGTTTGCTATTCATGAGGGCCATCACATACAATATCAAATCCCAAGTATTTGTGCTTTCAATATCTTTCAATTTTGTTTCGAAACAAAATGGAAAAGAATAACCAAAGAGGAAGTGTGTTGCGTAGAGTTTTGAAGAAAGTGGCTGATTTTCTCCTCTGCAAGGGCAACACCGGAGGTCATGGCTAATTGACCTAATCATACCCCATGTTGAAGAAGATGGTGCTTTGTGCTCGAGCCAGTGGTCTACTGTCTAATAAAGTTGGCAACAGTTCTTATGTAGGATTGTTGTCAACATTCAAAGTGTGCTTTGTTGGTCATTGTGTCGTTAATAACAATATTTTGACAGAACAGCATCACAAACCAAGTAAAAGAAAAACAGTTCAGGATGTTGGACGTTCAAGCCCTAAAGAAACACAGACAAGGAACTTTTTAGAAGTACAAACTCTAGTTTATAACTTTCTTTTTTTGGCTTTATTCATTTACTTATATCCACCAGTAACATTTCAGGAACTGACTGATACAAAATTAAACCCATTTAGCTAGTAACTACAGTAGAATCTCAAATACAGCAAACCAAAAAAAAAAAAAAAAAGTAGAAAAAGGAAATGAAAAAAAGGACATATAGAACCAAAATAATGTTTGATGGGATCAAATGAATTTTCGAGCAAAATTTTGTTTTCTTTTGTAATTCAAGTGAAGTAATTAACAAGCAATATACAGGAATACAAGAGGCATACATACGTTAGGGACCCACAAAAAATGGCCTGCAGCTCGAGAATAACTTGACTGCGTTCAACTGGCGCATCCGATCATTTATTACCGCGCATGTAATATATGTGATATTACATATGCGATCGCTTATATTACACGGACCGTTCCAATTCGTGCACTAAAGTTTTTCTACTGAAGCTCAAAGAGCAAGAAGGCAAAGAAAAGTCAAACAACTGAATTAACTTGTATAAGTGTTCAAAATACAAGGGGCATACCCAAGGGGCAAATTATGATTGCTCTGAAGATGAGAAAAATAAAACATGAAAGTTAAATATAGATTTATTTGATTCTTCTTACATAGTTCATCCAAACTATATATATATATATATAAGTGTTCAAAAATACTATAATTTTTTTTCCTTCCTATCCGTGTTGACCTGTGTTACAAGAATGAGACTGCTAATAAAACCATACATATGCGGGCCATTCCTATTGATTTCCACGAACATACTAAGTTATAGAGCGCATTTTCATTTTCACCTACCTCATTCTAATGAATATAAGCTTGATTAGATTCATATTAGTCATTTGATTTGCAACATTTTAACATCTTCTGATTAAATTTATAGAAACTGAATGCGTAAATATTAATTTCATTGAATTTGACTGTGTCTGTGTGGGAGTGGATGCACATGCGAGGATATGAGAGACGAACTCTCCCTAGCTGTAATATGAGAAGATGTTGAGACATTTCCATATCACAAAATCTGCAGAGACGGAGACTGGTTGGTAAGAAATAAAATGCAAGTAAATTAGCCAAATTATCAAAAATAATAAAATTAATAGCTAGTTCGTGGAACATAGCAAGAATAACATAGGAAATGCTCACACAGTTGCTATGAAGGTGTACCAATTAAAGGAACCCTCCACTATTCTTTCCAAATAATCTATATATATACACCGGGACTAAGCTCTTCTCCATATCGCAAATATTTTCTTCACAGACAATTTATATGTGTTAATTATCAGAAATAGAGAGATAAAGAGAGAGCCAGAGATATATGAAATGTAGATATTCTGTATATTGAAGTGTTTGTAATACATGTACAAGGAGAGATATATAGAGGCTAGAGATCACCAACGGCTATACAACAATTATAGTAATTATCTAGACTAAGGCTATAATAATGCAATTATGGCAGTAATATAAACAACGGCTATATTCTAATTATGTTAACATCCCCCCTCAAACTTAAGATGGTAAAGCAGAAACCAACTTGAGTTTGGAAACTAATTCCCGAAATCTGCCTGGCGGATGAGCTTTGGTAAAAATGTCAGCAGTTTGATCAGCGGAAGTTACAGAATGAAGGCGTACAGTGCCCCGTGCAACATGTTGACGCATAATATGACAATCGAGTTCAATATGTTTGGTGCGTTCATGGAAGACGTCATTATGAGCAATGTAAATAGCACTTCGATTATCACAATAGAGAACAGTGCCAGTGGAGTGAGAAATACCCATATCTGTTAAAAGCCATCGAAGCCAAATAAGTTCTTGTGTGGAATCAGCAAGGGC